GCATATGTGTGCATGCCCAAAATCCCAAGAGGAGAATGGAGGAGAAGGGACTGTGGCATGGCTATCCACTCTGGGGGGGTGATTTCTCACTTTCAGTGTCTTTGTCTCTCTCTGTCTCTCTGGTGAATGCACAGGTCCTATAGCAAAAATCTCTCCAATAAATAAATAAATAAAGTTTTCTATAGGATATATGTGCTTGCTGGAAAGACACACACACAGAGAAAAAGAGAGAAATGAAAAATCACTCCTCATAGGGGAGAGCCACACTGTAATTCCTTCTCTTCTATTCTCCTCTCAAGATTTTTTTTTTAAGAGAAATTTTTGCTTTAGGGCCTGTGTGCTCATCAGAAAGACAGACAAACAGAGAGTAAGAAATCACCCCCCAGGGAAGATGGTCATGCCACGATCCTTCTTCTCCATTCTTCTCTTGGAACTTCTGGCATGCATGCATACATGACCAGCGTTGAGTTTTAAGGTGCCAGGTCCAGGACTAGAACCACAGTTGACTAAGTGGGACTGAAGCAACATAACCACTGTGCCATCTGTTGGTCCTTCCTCTCAGGATTTTGGGCATGTACACACCCCAAGCATTTTTTCAACCCCCTGGGTCCAGGACTCAAACCACGTACACTCAGCCATGTGTAAATCCAGTCTCCTTAACAACCAAGCCACCTAGCTTTGATCAAGTTTCTTTTTTAATGTTTACTATAGGACATGTACATGAGAGAGAAAGAGAAACATCACCCCCCAGGTAGGAAGGCCACACTGCAATCCCTTCTTCTCCATTCTCCTCTCAGGATTTTTGGCATGCACACACATGTACCCAGCATGTTTTTCAAGCCATAGGGGCTGATACTCCAACTGCTGCTCTGACAGCCTCGAGGGATCCTGCTGTCTTAACTTACATGCCACCTGTTGACCCATCATGTCTCCTATTCATAACAAGGGCCAAGATCACTGGTGCCATGTAATATACCAGCATATCTGCATGCATTTGTGCCACAATGCTCTAACTCTGCACTTACCGAAAAGAACAAATGATTAGTTTTTAAATTAAGATGATAGTACTTTCAATAATACAAATCTAAAAAGAGATAAATTATAAATCTTGTTAATTACAAACTTTAGAATAGTTACCCAGGCATGAGACAACGCTAGAAGGATTTCTGTGGACAGTCATGAAACTCAATGTGCTCTGTCAACTGCAAAGGTAGCCCAGTGAGACATAGTTCTATGTGGTCAAAATAAAGCTACGTGCCTAATGCTTTGTAATAAAAGCAATGATAATCACTGCCTCTAAACAGATAATCACTATGTATTGTCTTGTCCTTTATGTATGTATGTATGTATATATATAAATATAAATACATATATATATATATATGTGTATGTATGTTCTAAACAGTATTTAATGTCATTATTTTAATTCTATGAAAGTTTTTCCACTCACGGGACCAGCAGTTGGCATAATGGCTATGTCGCTGGACTCCCATGTAGTCGACTGTGGTTCAAATCCCAGACCCCGTGGCTTAAACTCACGCTGGGTGTGTGTGTGTATGTGCCCAACTTCATCCTGAGAGGTGAAAGAGGAGAAGGGATTGCTGCGTGGCCATCCCCTCAGGGGGTGATTTCTCGCTTTCAGTCTCTCTGTCTCTCTTTCTGGCAAGCGCACGTGCCTTAAAGCAAAAAACCTCTCCCCCCAAAAAAGTTTTTCCGCTCCTATTTTTAGCATGTGCATGTCAAGTACACTGATGACTATGAAAACAAACTCATGTTCCCGTCAAGCTACTGGGAAGAAGAATTTGGAGAGGAGTATAAAAAAAAAGTTATCTGTAACTTAAGTAGATATTTTAAAATACTGTTTTTTAAAGTTAACACGATGTTGAATTGAGTAAAGCAAATTATATTATTAAAGTAAAATTTTCCCTACCCTTCGCACTAAAGTGCTACTGGAAATTCTGACATTGCTAGACATATGGAAGATTCTCAGAAAGTGTTCAAAGTGACATTCACACAGAACAGGCTCACAGTTAGTTGGGGCCTTGTTTGTGTACACCTTCCTGTTGCATACATATAAAATTAAGTCAAGCCTCATGTGTTCATTCTATTATTTCAGTAAGGCAAAGACGTTCAACTTCATCAAAAGTGGTAGGAGAAAGGAGTGGACAAACCTTTGAACATTTGTACATAACATATGTGGGGGGTCTTCAAAAATGCCACAGAAAATGTATATCATGAAAAATTATGCATGCATTTCAAATATTTTTCACAACTAAATAAACTGATAAGTTAATTCCATTTTCCACAACCTTTTGCAGTCCTTCATATAGTAATCAATGGGGGTATGGTCTGTCATTTTCTCAGGTGTGAAAAATAATTAATATATATCAGCATCGCTATTTGAGCTACCAATTAATGTAGAGGACATATAAAAGTTGATTATCACACAGAGGAAATGGATTACACTACAGGAATAATGTTTTTGATGCTATCATATTCGTCATCAATGTTCCAGTTAGCACTAAAAATCAGCTATTTGGGAAACGGGAACTGAGCAGGCTAAGTGTTATTGTTGGGAAAAACATATTTGGAAAAGTTTACCTTTTCCCATCATTGCATCCTTACTCACACAGATCATAATTTATAATTCTCTACACAATTTTTTCTCTGAAAATATATTACTCGCCCTAACTAACTAGAAGTCACTTTTCTTGACTTTCTGACATGGAAAAATTCTGAACTAGAAGCCTAATTAAACATTTTAATGAAAACAAGAATTACAAAATTATTCCAAAACTATTATATTAAGATGCTTATATTCTGTATAAATATTAATGTTATACATGTAAACAAGGCATTTAACATTTTTCCTAGGGTTAATTATTTTGACAATAGTTCACACTAATAATTCTCAAATTATTATTTAAAGTCAACAATGCATATATATTTATATCACTGAAATATCTATGTATTACATATGCATTCAAAAATATACACACAAAATGACAACTATGTCAAGTATATCTAATTTAGAAAGAATAAAAGAGATTCTACAAATGTAAAAGTGTAATTATGTGAAGACAGCATTATGGAAGTGTTTTTCTTCATTCTGTCATGACATTATTATACTTTTTTAAAAATAAAATATTTTATTTTGGTTTGGTTATATGAATAAAGCTATTGTATCAGTGATATTAAACAACATTGAAAGAAAACAAATTACAAATAAAACTCCTTGGTAGTTTTTAAATTCATGTACACGTGAAATACACATACCTGAACCAACTTCTTTTTCCTCTTCTTCAATGTTGTTTTTGATGCTATCGTATTCCTCATCAATGGTCTGGTTACCACGCATCTGAGATAAAATTCTACGGGCCTTCTGAGTCTGTCCTTTCTGAATAAGCCATCGAGGACTTTCCGGCAAAAAGAGAAAGCCAAAAAACTGTATAACTGCTGGAATTGCTGCAAGTCCCAACATGTACCTGCAATTAAGAAATCCACATTTACTGTACAATTTGGCCTCAGTAGCATTAAATATGTGCTCTTCAGATATTTTTTTTGTATTTTTGTCTTGGCCACAATAAAATCTGATAGAATAACTTTCTTTTTATTCTGTCATAAAAAAAGGATACTTTATGCTGTGCTGAAATTCGGAAAATGAGAAAAAACTTAATATCTTCTGTATCTGACACAAATTACAATAAGAAAACGAATAAAAGTTACAATAATTTGGTACACAAGTGAATAAAACATGTCATGCAAACACCACAATCTCTGTCTGTATCTAATACTAAAATATAAGATAAAATTCTGTATTTGACAATTTAAAATGGAATTTAAGATAAGAAGCTAATACCTGCTTAAAATATAAAAACTTTTCACTAAAATAAATGTTCCAGTCTGTTTATGGTTATTTCTGCTCTGTGAATTAGTTATAATTTGTTACAACTTTCTTACTTTGTTTTTCCATTAAACATTTAAGTAAAGATTCACAGCAATAAATAAATAAAAACAAAACCCTAAATAAGGAACCAGCAGATGGCATAATGGTTACATTGCTGGACTCCCATGTAGTTGACTGCGGTTAGAGTCCTGGACCCAACAGTTTGAAACTCACACCAAGCACATGTGCGTACATGCCCAAAATCCCAAGAGGAGAATGGAGGAGAAGGGATTGCAGCGTGGCCATCCCTCCTGGACAGTGAATTCTCACTTTCTGTGTCTCTGGCAAATGCATGCTCCCTATAGCAAAAATCTCTTATTAAAAAAATAATGAATTAATTAATTTTTTAAAAACTAAGAAAAATGATTAGAAATATGAAATGTTATTTTAAGTTCTCAATGCTTTTTAAAAATGTTTTTATTTATTTATTTAGCCATAGGGTAAGTGTGCTCATTACAGACAGACAGCAAGGGGAAGTGAGAAACCATCCCCAAGGGGAGATGGCCACACCCCAATCACTTCTACCCCATTCTCCTCTAAGGATTGCGGGTATACACACATATCCCCCTGGCATGTTTCCAACCCACTGGGTCTGGGACTTGTATTGTGGAGTCTGTCATGAGAGATCCAACATCTTAATCACCACCACATGGTGCTCCTTAAATGTGTATTCTTAATGGCTTATAAAAATCTAAATAGTAAATAAGCATACCATTTAAAATCCATCAGAGAAAAAAATAATATTAATACATCGATATCAAAGACCTGTCCAAATTATGACCACCAAACAGATCTTGTAAAATTTCTAAGCCTTAACCTTTTAGAACTGAACAGGTTAAATTAGATAAATTTCCAGGTCTTTTCTGGACAGAAATGTCTGTGGATCTAAGACACCTGGAAGTTTCTCTTGATCCAAGTTCCTGGATCTCTTCCAAGGTAGATTCATGATAACAAAGCTCTAAAGGCCAATTCCACTTGTGTAATACTTAGACCTGACTCAGTAGTAACTTTCCAAAACCGTTCTGCCTTTTTAACTATGCTCAACCCAAAGTGCAGCATCCTCTAAAGACTCCAGAGACACAGTTCATGAGGTCCACTATTCCCTAGGCAATCTCACTTTAATTTCAAAAACCGTAGAAGAAAAAAATGTAATTGTCAGATGGAAGTGTAAAATACCTTCTACTCCAAACTAAAACTTAAAACTATACATAAGATACAGAAAGCGGGAACCAGCAGTTAGCGTAATGGCTATGTCACTGGACTCCCACGTAGTCGACCATGGTTCGTGTCCCGGACCCGGTGGCTTAAAACTCACGCCGGGCGCGTGTGCGTGCGTGCCCAAGATCCCGGGAGGAGAATGGAGGAGAAGGGATTGCGGCGTGACCATCCCCCCTGGGGGGTGATTTCTCGCTTTCTGTCTCTATGTCTCTCTCTGTCTGTCTGGCGAGCGCACGCGCCCTATAGTGAAAAAAAAAAAAAAAACCCTCTCAAAAAAAAAAAAAAAAAAGATACAGAAAGCAAAGTTTTTAAGAATGACTAAATGAGTCACTTGGCATGTAATATTAAAAAAATTCTTATTAGAAATTCTTTATAATTTAATCCATGGGTTGAGGTAATTACACCATATTTAACCATGCCTTCTTCAGCTCACCCACAAACTGATTTTTAACTTAATTTAGTCATACTTTTTAAACCACAATTTATGTCATTGTATCTCATATTGTAATTATTTACCTGTCTTACTTGACTGCGTGTTTAACTTTGTATTTAGCATAGCATCCAGTGAAGTATTTTGCACACAGGAGGCATTTGGTAAAAGCTTTGTGAAATGATACAGAAGTAGTTGTATAAACTTTCTACATTTACTAAACAAAAAACAACTATATATTGTCCTCATAAAGCAATATACAATATTACACAGCAACTCTTCTGGATCATTTAGCTATGCAAACTTAACTTGCTCAGTCATTTCTTCCAACCAAATCATTCATTATTCTAGATATAACCAGACATTCTATTTGGAAGAGTCTTCAGATGAAAGCTACAGAAATCAGATCACAGAAATATATACTTCCAGTCTCCTCTTAAGATGTTAATTGGTAATACCAAATTTATAACTTAAATGACTTTTTTGCTGTAAATGAATACAATTTCCATCTGAGTTGTATTTTAGTTTAAAGAAACTGAAAGAAACTGATCCTCTGTTACCCACTGTTTAAAAGAAAAGCAATGAAGAGCTAGATACTAAGTACACTGTATTAGGAAATAAAAAAGTCCAAAAGATGAAAGCCTTTATGTTTCGTTTCTCTACACCTTTCATGATCTTTCATGAAGATTAAAGGGATGCAGAAAAAAACAACTTCAACAATGTACTTGAAATGAATATAGAAATAGAATAATTTCCAGGCCCAAAGATGCTCACAAAATATTTTACTAATCAATATTAAATTCCAGGACATGATATGTTTATGAAATTCAAAGAAACAGAAAAAGAGAAGGGAAGGGAAAAGAAAAAGAAAAATGCAAACACATGTATTAACCTGTTTCTTAAGTGAGCTACAGGAGACAGAATACTTGAACATTCCAGCCTTCTGAAATCTGTAAATCCCAGGAGTCTAGGCTGGAAATTTACATTTCAGTGCTTTACACAAAGAGGAGGGAAAGGAAGTCACACCTTGCTGCCAATCTCTTAAAGTCTTTCCTGAGATTAGTCAAGAAAAAGAGAGTATTTTATATGTTTATATCCTAATATTTCTCTTTCCTAAAAGTAAAATAAAATGCTTATTTTTTTTTCACCCTTAAAAATATAAATCCTCTTGGGACCAACAGATGGCATGATGGTTTTGTTGCTGGACTCCCATGTGGTTGACTGAGGTTCAAGTCCCCGGCCCGGAGGCATGGAGCTTGCACTGGGCATGTATACATGCATGCCCAAAATCCTGAGAGGTGAATGGAGGAGAAGGGATTGTGGTGTGGCCACCCCACCTGGGGGTGATTTCTCGCTTTCTCTCTGGTAAGCACACATGCCCCATATCAAAAATCTCTCAAAAAAATAAAAAATCCTCTCAAACATTACTTTTATCAAGATCAACTTAAAGCAAGGTATTTCCTCTACTACAAATTATATTGGTAAATATACTTTAATTTCTTTCATAATATAAGTAATAATTTTCAAATCATTGTAGAAAGCCAGTACACAAGGTCAGGGGTAGCTGTGGTACATGATGGAGAGAACAGGGGTCCAAGCCTGGGTTCGCTTCAGCTCTAAACATACTAAAAATCCCTGGTGAAGTCCCTTAACATTTTCTAAAACACATGTGTCTCCTCATAGAACTGCTGAAGAATTAAGTGAAATCATCCAGTCAATATCTAGCAGAGAGGATGCTTAGCAAAAACTGTTTCACCTCCCTAAACACTTAATGATGCAATCAAATCGTGTCTATTCTGTCTCCCAATTATCAGCAGGTAGGACTAATCAATTTGTTTCTTGAGGGAAAGTTGTTCCTCTGATGAAATGTAGATTAAAGAACAGATCAAATAAATAAGAAGTTGCTTTGTGGAGGTACTGATGAAAAATTCAACAGTACAAAAAGAGCTGGCTCTCTATATATGTACTAGTCAGTTACAGTATTAAAGACTAACTACCAGTTCTCTAAATCCACGGAAATGAGGAATCACATGAGGGTCAGAGAATATTATGATATATATATACCAGGGCAGGCAGTCCCCAAGCAAATGAACAGTCCCATATTGAAAAAGGAGCCCTCCATATAATAAGTTAAATGGAGAGTTCTAAACCCTGACTTCACATTAGAATCACCCAGGGGGGCTTTTAAAACACACCCGTGTCCAGTCCCCCTCCCCACCCTGCCTTACCCAGGGATTTTGATTAATTGGTCTGGGCTTTGTGCCCAGGGAATTCTATTTTATTAAAAGCTCTCCAGGCGATGCCAATGTACAGCTGCAGCTGAGAACTAGGAATCTAATTTTTTTAAAACCCAAGAGGTAAAAATGAACAAGCACCCAACATTCACACCTTAAAGTGACAGCCTTATCTCTCTGGAGGCAAGACAGCACACCAAGTTGACATAAAGGAAAAGCAGGTTGACCCAAGCCAAAATGCCAAGCTTTCATGAATTCTGGAAATCTCCAAAATATTCTTTAGCCTCAAGATCATTCACCAAATAAAGATACCTTTTCAATTTTTCTAAACTTGTAGTTAACGAGTGAGCTATTTTCTGGCACAAGCCATGCATTTATCTACAGAAAAACTGAGGGAGCTATCTAAGGGGAAGTAACCTTTCAGATGGTGTTAAACCAGCTACCCACGAAGACAGACACAGAGCAAGCCCAGCCATTTTGCTTCAGATTAAGCCTTCTTCCCATGTCTAAAAAAAACAACTAAATCTCTTTGAATCAAATATCCCGCATTCCTGGATATTAAGAGCTCCCATTTTGCAGTTTAGGAACTGGCACCATGGATCACCATGGTACTTATTCATTAGTAGTTCCAAACAAGTGATGAGCATGTTCTAAAAA